TTTAGAAGCAAGACACAAGAGTATTGTCACACTATTAGAGGATATTAGACGACTTATAGTTAAAAGAAAAGTTGCTAAGAGAATATTTGTTGTTAGGATTAAGGGGAACTTTGGCCCTAGGATTTAGCAAAAGATAGAAGAATACAAAAACCTTAGTTCAAATTTTAGGGTCATGCATAATGGTGATGATGGGTATGAGGCTATTAACATATACAATTACAATGATAAATATATAATGCATATGGAGAAAAGACAATGCACGTGTAGGTTGTTTGAGATGACTAGTTTACCATGTCCACATGCTATAGTCGTTTATGTTGCTAGGAAGTGGCGAGTTGGAGAGGTATGTTATCCATTGGTATTCAAAAGATATGTTTATCAATGCATATAAGAATTCTATTGAACCTACCAATGGTGAAAAGTATTGGCCTAAGGTAGATAAACTAGATGTTATTACTCTTGATATTGTGAAACCGCCTAGGAGGAAGAAAAAGAAAAGAATCTTAGAATCATGGGAATCATCAAATGGAATTAACATGTCTAGAAGAGGAAGGATGATGACTTGTAAAATATGCTTCAAGAAAAGGCACAACAGATTGACATGTCCTAATAATCATAAGAAGAAAAAGATAAATATCTTATATTTTAGTTATGCTTATAAGTTTTATCCATCTCGTATACTATAGTAGAGTTGATTAAATCTTGTTCACAGGATGTTGATGTTGCTTCGGTTCTAGATCAACAACCGTTGGACTAGGTCATGTTGTGGTTGAACATAGTCCTTTTGAAGAAGCTTCCAACTTTGGTTTTGTTATAGTTGAACTAGTTTCAACTTGTCGTGTAAATTCTTAGATGGTTTCAATTATATGATTTGTTTTATGTTTATTTATATTCATAACCTTATGTGAAATTTTTTCCGTAATTAGGAAAACAAAAAACAAGAAGTTGGAGTTGTATCTTCTCATAAGAGAAAAATAAATGATGCCACTCGTTAAGATAAATAAAGAAAAAGTTAATGATCGTGGTGGTTGAACTTTGAGGAGTAGTAAGGGCAAGGAGAAGGTTAATGATACTACTACAACAAAGCATAAGGGTGCTACAACAAACCAGAAGGCAAGCCGTAACAAAGAAGAAACCAAATTTAGATGTTTATGCTATCAAAATTAAGAGATTTAAAAGATCATAGATTGCAAAACAAAGTGTCTGTTGCTAGTGGTTCAAAAACAAATAGAAGTGGCTCCAAAAGAAATTAATGTTTTGAGGATTTTAGTTAAAACTTGATTAATTATATGGAAGGAATACTTGTCGAAGTGCATTTCCCGAATGTACTTGTTTAATGTCATGTTTAATTCTATATTTATTTAGTTTCGTTTGATGATATTTCTAGGTGTGATTAAGAAGTTCTTCCATAGACATTGAAAGAACTCGCTAACAATATTAAATCTCATTTGTTGATGTTTTACTTCATTAAGTTAATGAACTTACCTTGTTACAAACGGGACTTCGTATTTCAATGTTGCTTTCCTTGTAAAATAAATCTACTCGTCCAGTTAATGTATATGGTTATGGTTAATGAATCTACTATCCTAGTTACAAACAATACTCATGAAATGAGGTCTGGTTTTTGAATGACATTATCCGAATAACAACAAAATGTTACAAACAAAATAGTACTCAATTTTTCTTTTTCTTGTAAGGTTCTTGGAACAAACTAGTGTAACAATTTATAGGTTTTGGCTGTAATTCTTTGAACCAATTTTCAACTAATTTTGAACTAATGACATTGGTGACTAAAGCTTAACTTTTACGCTTCATTATCAATTCTCCCTTTTTCAATGCTCAATAAAGTTGACTAACTAATTTTTCCCTTTTAACTCACTAATTTTCCCCTTTTAACTAAGTAATATATCTATATATACTAGCGGGAATAGGAGGTGCAAGTGCAAATCTAGTTCCTACTGCAATAACTTGCAACAATAAGTTAAATCATATCAACAACAAATTAACACAAATTGTTAAATTCATTTCAAACTCATAGCATTACAATCACAATGACATATATTATACAAATAAATTTAAGTAAAGACATATTCTCCTCTTAAACAACATTAAATCACCACACAATAACTTCAAGTCTACAATCTCCGGTTATAGCAACTCTTTCTCTTCTTCTTTTTTCGATTATAGGCATCATTCACATCTCCGACGGTCTCCATTTCAATTGACGAGTTCCTCATTCTCGCTCTTGATGTAAGAATTCTCACTTTTTAACTTACAAACCACCTCATTCAATCTCAAATTCTCTAAAACCAACTCTGTAATTCATTGCATGTATTTGTTTTTGCTAATTTCGCAAGCCCAAAACAATCTCTTTGTCACCGCAATCTAAATCATCCTCAAACCACACTTTGAAACTACATCCAACATTTTTTCTTCCTTTAGCATTGAATTGCAATGGGCAAATATTAAATCTAACACACAGGTGTTCATCACTCTAAGATAATACCTTTACTCGTTTTCATCCCGCAAAAACATATAATCGATGGTTCTTCATCACGTGATCGTAATTTATGATCACCAAGTGCACATATTGATAGTTGTGATACATCCGAATGTTTAGACGATGAAGATGATGTGGATGAAGTCCTCATGTCTTCCCGCATTGCAAGACACTACAAAAGATGAACGAAAGTTTCAATTTAGGGATTTCAAAAATTGAGGATTTGGGATTTAGGGATTTTCAAACAATTGAAATTAGAGAAGCTGGGATAATTGAATTGCCGAACAATGGAGAAGAGATGAGTTGCAATTTATAAAGAAAATGAGAGAATCAAGGTAGATTTTGCCGGATAACTGAAGAAGATGGTAAGGTCGGGAGTTTTTGGATTTTGATACAACGTAAAAATTTCCGATTTTACTCGATAATATGTCGGGGGTATTTTTGTCCTCTTATTTTTATTTTTGTAAAATAACAATTTCTTATTTTCAAAATTGTTAAATTTCTTTTCTAAATTTATAAGTTTTGGTTTTTCGAATTATAATCTCACAACCGAGATTCCACATGTCCACGTGTCGGTCTTTGATTGGTTATCATCATCCGAAAAGTACCACGCAGGATTTACGAGTTAACGGAGGGTCTCGATCAACAAATTTATAAAAGCATAAGGTTTCAATTAAGCTAAAAAGCATTAGAGGGTCTCAATCAAAAAAATTGAGACTGTGCAGAGACCAATTATGGGATAAATCCTTTTTTCTTATGTCCTAGCCGTTGATTGTGATGGGAGTGGTCGAAATAAAAGTGGTGGGTTGGTTATAGGGTGGAATGATAGTTGGTGCCTCATCATGTTGTACTCTTCCATTCATCATATATATGGATTTTGAAGCCCCGTATAATCAGAGTGATTTTGTTTATAGATTTACTGGGTTCTATGGGTGGTCCGAAATACATAAAATTAGAAAGCTACGACAGAAAATGGAGTCCATTAAAAAAACTAAGTTATCAGAGGATGTATCAGCATCTCAGAAACTGTGTGAAGATGAAATGGAAGTCATTCTAGTTAGGGAAGAAACAATGTGGCCACGTTAATTTTCTTCGATACAAAGGCCAAAAATGAAATAGTATTTTTGGGCTGAAAAATACCAATGGGCACTGGATCGACAAAAGGAAGACATCAAGAGAATGATCACATATTATTTTCAGAAACTTTTCACTTCATCTAGTCCTGTTAACTGGAGGCTGTAACCAATGCAATGGAAACAAGAGTCACGTAAGACATGAACAACAATGCTGACAAGGGATTTCTCTCTGGAAGAAATTGAGGAAGCTCTCCACCAAATCTATCATACCAAAGCTCCAGTACCTGATGGGATGCATGCCCTCTTTTGTCAATAGTCTAGGCATATTATTGGTAATAATGTTAATTCAGCCTTAAATGTCCTAAAGCTATCAGCTCAAACCATGTTGTCCTAATTTCCAAAGTCTCCAAACCTGAATCTCCCTCCCAGTTTAGACCTATTAGTTTATGCCATGTTATTTTTAAAATTATGTCAAAACCAATAGCTAATAAATTAAAAGCAATTCTCTAATTTATTATTAACAAATCCTAAAGTGCCTTTGTTTCAGGACAAATGATAACCGATAATGTTCTTGTCACTTTTGAAGTTTTTCACTCCATGAAAAATGGAAAAATGGAAGGTCGGGTAACATGTCTCTCGAACTTGATAGGAGTAATGCATATGACAAATCTTTTTTAAAAGCAGTCATGATTAAATTAGAATTTCATAAAGATTTGGTAGAACTTATAATAAGATGTATTTCTTCTATTTCTTATTCAGTTTCTCTCATAAGAGAATTATGACAAAGGGACCCACTATCTCCACGTCTTTTTTTTTTTTTTCTCTCTTTTCTCTGAAGGTTTATCGAGCCTTATTCGTCAATCCAACAGGAATAACATAGTTCAGAGTGAAAATATGTAGACATGTATATCCCATTTCACACTTATTTTCAATTGCAAAACCTTTACTGAAGTATCCCTTCAAAAACTTAAAAACCTAAGGCACATTTCCTTACATGCCCAAGTTGAATGAGGCATTGTGCATATAAGCAAATTTTATTTCACATGGCTAAAAAAGTATCCACAATCCTATCATACAAAACATCCATTAATTTGGCATTCAATTTTCCTGATTTCCGGCTGAAGATAGCTCAAAAATCTCCTTGCCTTGATTATGATCAGTAGAAAATACATGTAGCAAGGATTGTTACCCTTGCTAAATTTGCTTTTCTTTATGTGGGCATAATGTTCTGTTGCAGTTAAGTTGTTTACATCTTCTTGTACAAAGAAAGCAAAAACCAATTCAGCCTAAAAAGAAATGTAGTGCTAGAATGATTTTGGCATTAGGACTCTTCCAAAAAGTATCATCAACCAAAACTTTCCTATCTGCAGAAGCTAAATGGATTGATCAAATTGTTGTCCGAGTCACTGATTTCCCTACCAAGTTCAAGGTAGTCCATTATCAGCCGAAAATGTCCCTTCAAAGATCCTCTCCCTTGCCTTGGTTGCCTGCAAACGTTGACATGCATACAGAATCATGATTAGCATTCATGTATAAAGATCTTCATTTGATAAAGTAACCATCTTGATTCCATTAATTAAAAGAACCAACAATGCATCCAAAACAGCAAATCTCATGAAGAGGCTGAGATGATGAGCAGAACCTGTTTTTTCCAATTTGTGAAACCAGTTATGAGAGCAAGTAATGCTGCTTGCACAATACTCCCAGTTAATATCCCAATCCAAAGGCCTTTCCCTCTAAGATGGAGAACGAAGCACAGTAGAACAGCTACTGGAATTCCAACAAGATAATACGCCCCAAGGTTAATATAGGCCCCTATGTGCTGCCACCCACATCCTCTGGCAACCCCTGTCGCCGAAAAAGATCTAACATTAGTGTCATAACGGCTGTATGCAAGAAACATCACCAAGTATCATCCGAAAGCAGCAGACAAACTTAAATTTATCTCGGTGATCAATGCTGGTGAAATATGGGATTGGAACACAAAATTTACAGATTTCAACATGTACATGTATCTCTAAACTCCATAGGAGTATCTAAGAATGGTAATAGTTGATTGCATAATGAGGGGAAACTAACCAGAAAGTACTGTTTGTAAGCTATCCATAATAACTGAGAGACAAAGCAGGGGAGCCACTTCAGATACGTAGTCCACAACCCCCTTTTCATTGCTAAAAGCGTATCCGAAAACATAGCGGCAGCAGAAAAGAATTGTGCCCACAATAATGGCCTCTATGAGTGAAATGTACAGTACCACACGGACGATCATTTTAGCTGCCTCATGGTTTCCAGCTCCTAACTGATTTGAGACCTGAGCACTGCCAGAGCAAGCACAATCACTGTAAGAAAATAAGATTTTTCTTTCATCTATGCAAACTTGAAGAGACAAGATACGAATTAAACCTTCCAGCAGCTGCAATCCCACATTGTACATAGAAGTGCAGTGATGTTGTCGTGAGGCTGATTACAATGTTAAAAGATAATCAGAAGCACACTAATAGAAGTCCCTAATCAACCATCTTTACAGTATAGGAAAAGAAGTGTACCAGATAGAAAGAACAGATGTTTCAAGCTGTGAATCTGGCAAAAGCCCAGCCAGCAATACAAGTAGTTCAAAGGTCCACCATTCAAGACTTCATATAACAATCAGCATGAAAAGAACACACAAGAGTATCTATTAGGAATTAAAAGCAGAAAACAATAGAAGCTCAAGAAATTACATTCCTGTTAGACTGTACATGAATAAGAAATTACCAAACCATCACAGCAGAAGGAAGAGCAAAGCGAAAGAACTCCTTAATGCTGTAGAAAATATCATTCCAGTAGATGACACGGGTTTTTGCACATGATGAAGAGAAGCCCATATAAAGTGCAAGGAATATCACATTTAACCAATAAGACACATCAATGGCTAATGCTGCTCCTGTGCTTCCTAGTTTCCATTTAAATATTAGAGCCCAGCAAAGGGGTATGTGGAAGCATAAAGTCACACAAGTGCTTAAAAGCATCGGTAGAACCAAGCTCTGAGACTGAAAGTAACGTAGTAGCGACTGAAGAACAGCATAGGCAAATAATGCAGGTATGAGACAAGTAGCATATTGGCAGGCTACCATTGAAATTTCAGGGTCTTGGCCTAATGCTACCAATATCCTGTCCATGAATATCCAAAGAATAGATACAGGGAGACATATTGGAAGTAGAGATATAATTGCACAGTATGTGTAGGTTCCAAACTTCTGGTATTGCTCTGCTCCATAAGCTTGTCCACATAGTGTTTCTAAGCCTCCTGCCAATCCAAACTGCTTGGTATGTAAATATACTGTCAATCATCTTGCATACAAGTTCAAACTTGATTCAGGAATTGAAAAATGAGACACATCTATTAAGAAAGTAAATCTACGTAACCTTCTCATTAATCTCATTATACGTTTCAAGATTGTAAAAATAATTTCAATAACTATTCCTTGAATTGGAAATTGCATAAATTATTTGAATTGTTTGAATGTTTATTCAAACTTGAGCAGCACCTATTTGTGCGCTTAGCAGGTGAAAGTTTTTAAATTCTACTCTAGGCTTTTAACATGAATGATTTGGTAAGGAGAAATTTTATCAAATTTTCTTGATCTAGATAACTCAAGATGGAGAAAGCTTGTATCTTATTGGTGCATATACAAGTAATAAGATAGAGAAAAGAGGACTTTACTAGGAGACTGAAGCCAGTGACCCCAGCAAAAGATCCACCAATTGAGACCCCAGCCAGTGACAATTCACCAAGGTGCCCGGCCATCATTAGTGAGACAACCTGCAACAGGTATAGTGACACCGTCACCACCACCATGGGAGCTGCCATGTAACTCACCTTCTTTAGTTCTTCCACGAAGGTAGTAGGAGCCCATGTCCTCTCTTCGGTCCTCTTGGGCAGCAATGCCTGTTCCATCTCTCTGTCTCAAACGTTTCCCTACAGGAGGATTCTTTACAATCTTGTAAAGAAGTGAGAAAAACGCATACGTAGTTGCATTTCCACCATAACACAAACAAATCATGTTATAAACAAAGAGACAAGGGGGCACTATAGTCTAAAGTAGAATTCAATTCTGTCACAAACATGCTCTGTTTTTAATGCATTTCGGTCTCACACGACTCTCCGCGGATTACAATAATGATGAAAGGACAATAATGATGAAAGGTGAAGAGTTAAGAGAATAAGTCAGGATTTGTCATGTTGATAATAAATAAATGGAGAAGTAAGGAAACAAATGCATTAGAATAATGAAAGATTGAGAAATATTAGATTCTTACCGTTCCAGGCTGAGCTTGGAAAACTCGGTTGTTGGGTGGTAGGAGTCGGCTACTCCTCACATTATTATCTAAGCGAATTTTAGAAGAGATCCCCAAAAAAAAAAAAAAAAAAAATTGTTTATAATGTTGAAACAAAAACAATCATGGATTGCTGGACACATGAATGAGCTTCATTTGGATTGGCGTAAATTTTTTTTAGGGATAATTACTAAAAACAATATTCTATTTTAAAAACTTGCCAATTTATTTTTAAATTTCTGAAATTCAAAACAATATTTTTCCCAATAGTTAACCCTTAATTTGTTACCATTTAATTATAGGGGAGTTTTGGTAAGGGAAAAAAAATATTATTTTAGGTCTGAGATATTTAAAAATAAATTGGAGGATTTTTTAGAATTAAATTTTTTTTAGAGAATTTTATCTAATAATAATCTCATTCAATAGATTTGAAGAATGATTTTTTTTTTAATCATGATCAAGTTTAGGTTTTTTTAAATTGCAACAGAAAAAAAAATTTTTGCTCGTTTTTTTTTTTTTACTACTAATACACTAATTTTTGTCTATTATTTTCTTATTATACGAAAAAATTTCTTCTATAAGAGTTTTTTTTTTATTTTTTCTCAATAAATCATTTGTTTCATCAACTAAATAATTAGTTTTACTACTTAGTAACTATAGCATCTGATGTAATTTGACTAAATAATTACCGTTTAGATGATGAATTTTATATAGGGAATTCCATTGTTCATAAAAATGACTATAGAGATAGGAAAAAATGGTTGGTTGGAGCAATATTGATAGAAAATTTGGAAAGTTTCAATATGATCCCTTTGACTTTTTATTATGTTAATATCATATTAATATTTAATTAGATTATTTCTATATAAAACAAATAGTGTTTCATATAGTTGACATTGCCATTTAATTATAAAAACTGTCGTGGAAACAACTGTGAATTTTTTGACTAAATTTGTTATTTGTACTCGTTAATTCATTAAAAAAAAATCATTTTATTATCACTTTGATTAATTAAACTCTTGTATTTTTAGATTTTAACATAATTTGTCAAATCAAAAAAGATATTAACTTTGATTAGTTTTTTTTTTTTTTTTTTCTTTTGTGCACCACCAATCTTTCTATAATGAGATCATGAACAGAATATTCTTTAAGACCAACTACACAACATAAATAATAGAGAAGGCAGAGTTTTTCTTTATTACTATTTATTTGTTTCTGGCTTTAATCCTGTCTTCACAAGATGACATAAATAGCAGAAAAGGAAGAGTTTGCTTTTACTTGTTTCTGGCTTCTGCCTTAACAACAAAACAAAAGTTTTCTTTCTTTATATCATTGAATGGTAACCCCGTGATGAAATTAGTGGCCCTATGGACAAGAGGACCACTACAACTTGATAAGCTACTATGCCAAACTGGATCAGACCAATCAGATTACAGGAATAGTAGTATTGTTTTCCAATAGGGAAAAAGGGCAACTTGGGAAGTGACGAATGATTGAGAGCTCAGCAAAATATTTGCAGCCAGCCACAGAAATAGAAGATACAATACTCATAGCCAATGACATTTCAACCAGCCCTCAAACAAAGATGAATAAATTATTAATTAATTCTTCTAATTTTGAGAATCAAATTAATTAGTTTCTTTTGTAACTTAATCCTTTTTATCTTTTTCAATTTATTTTGACTTTTTGGTTCAAGAAAAAAAAATTGTAGAAGGATTATGAGAAAATATGTCATTTTTTTTAAAAATAAATTAATAGTAAATTAAGCATGATAAACACTAGTCAAATGATTAAATAATTAGTTATTGAAACTAATGAACTAATTAATTTGTTTTTAAAAAATAGAGGGACTAATTTATAATTTACTCAACAAAAATTTAAGACCGCAGACATTCTAAACCTTAACTTTTAAAACGGAGGGGGATCCACAGACTGACATTGAAGTACAACTAGAAATTGACAGTCATGGAATTTGATTTCAACTAGAATTTGCTTTCTTTATTAAAAAATAGAAGGAAAAAAATCCTTGAAGTTGTTGTATTTACAGTCATGCCACTTTAGATCACAAGCGCAAAAAGAAAAAAGGCAATGAGCTAAGAGCAGTTTCATACTATCAAAGAGTTCATATAATTTAATTTTCCTCATTCTCCACCGAAGTTCTTCTTTCACATACCCTTTCCCTTGCCTTGGTTACCTGTAAGCACACAAGGTCATAAATTTGTTGTTACCTGTAATATGATAGAACAGAACAAAGAAAAAATTGGGGAAAAAGTTCAAGTAAAGACAGGGAAGGTTGGACTAAGGACCTGTTTATTCCAATCTGTAAACGCAGTAATGATAGAAAGAAGAAATGATTGCACTAAGGACCCAGCTACAATTCCAATCCAAAGGCCTTTTCCTCTTAAATGAGCTACAAAATCAAGTACAGCTGCCACTGGAAGTCCAACCAGATAAAATGCACCCAGATTGAAACACAAAACACCTCTCCCCACAAAACACGAACAAATATATGTACAAACCCAAGGAATTTCATATCAAATTAATAAAAGGTACTAGAAATAAAAAAAAATCAATTTTTGAAATAAAAAACATTAATAATTAAGATAAATAACATAACAATGATAAATAATAAATAAATAAAAGATAAACTCATAAAATTATAAAACTTGACACACAATCTATATACAAACACACAAGTATGCCCTAAAATATTCAGATTACTTAGAAATGAAAAACTTGGATATTTAATTAAATTCCACAAATGATTCATGCTAATAATTAAAATGCGGTGAGATAATGACTAAATAGCAAATAAATGGTAAATGGATTTCTAAAATTGTGAAACTTGAAATATATTCTAAGAACCAATACATGAACTAGCCATATAAATCTCATATTAAAATAAAACTAAACAGAAGGCTAAATAATTAAGTTACATAAATAAGCAACAAAAACAATAAAAAACTATATAAAATATTAAATAAATACCAAATAAATAATAAATGGACTTCAAAAATTGTGAAATTTAAAACATAAGCTGAGGATAAATATATTTACCACATAAAAAATTCAGGTCAAAAGCATTAGCAAAGCCTTGTCAAAATGGGTAAGATCCAAAAATAAATCCTAGGGTTAAATTCATGCTTAATTAGAGGCCCAACATTCCAAACTCTTGGCCCGAACAAAAAAATAAAATCCAGACCAAGTAAAAATGCACAGTATATCCTTTAGGCAACCCCCGGGCTTGGCCCGCACTATCACAACAGATTGGCTAAACCATTTTAGGCTTCATGCTTTTCTGGACCCTTCCTTTCCTTCCCCTAATTTTGCAGCCCCAGCCCAACTAAAACATCAAACTCCAGCCCGTGTTACTTGATCCTTCTTCTCCCTAATTTTGCACAAACTTATACTTCAAAAACTAAACATAAGTTGCATTTAAAGAAAACCTAAAAGATCTGGGGCAAATAAACACTAAGTTGTCATTTATTTGTCTTGAATCACTATTCATTAACTGTTTATGGATGGCATTTTTTGTAATTTTTAATAGTTATATTTTCGTGATTTGTTGATAGTTTTTTTTGTTATTCATTTGCAAATTTTATACTTTATTTTATTTTGGTCTCTTATTTTTTTAAAGATATTTTTGGTCTCTCATGTTTTTTTAAAATATTTTAACACCTCATATTTCTATCTTATTCCATTTGGGTCCTTTGATTTTTTTTTTAAAAAATATATTTTTGGTCTCTCATATTTTTAAAAGATGTTTTTGGCTTCTCATGTTTTTAGATTTTAGAACACACACACACACACACACATGCATATACGGGGGCGGGTGGACGTATAATCCTACAAGGGCTCGAGCCCCCTCAACTTTTTATTATTTTTTTTCTATACTAAAGTAACGTACGGCCCCCTTCTAGCTCCCTTTTTTTTTTCCCCTAAATCGAGTAACAAACCCAGCCTACCACCGGCAACCTCTAACTTTTTTTAATACACGTATGCGTAGTCCCTATTCCTACCTTACCATACACTTCAAAAGAAAAATATACCAAATAGCACTTCTACCGCTACTTGAGAGACAAAACAAGAGTGACTTTAGTTCTTTTTTATTTTTTTCTTATACTAGAGTAAGACAAACCCAACCCTCTTTAATGTTTTTTAACATTTGCCCTTGGTTTCCTCATACGGCACAACTAAACCTTTAATATTTATTTAATTTGATCCCAGCTTACTTCCTATCACTACTAAATTCGTTCCTTCTTTCCTTTTCCTTAACTCTTAACTCTTTCTCTATTCAAAACACCAAAAAGAAAACTTTTTGTTTATCCGGATTTTTCTTATTCGACAACACAAGCATGTATTTTCTCTTATTTGGATTAATATACTAGATTCTCACTTGTTTTTTTTGTTTATAATAACGATTTTTATTATTTATATTTTATAGGTTTTATATTACTAAGTGACTAGTTTGAAATATACTCAACTTATTAGTAGAACGGCTAGTGCTACTAGAATCCTTGTTATTTTTAGATACGTATACCGGTGAGTATGGGGGTGGCTTCCAGGTAGACCTAGGTGGTGGTCTATTTATGTGTTTGGCTTGAAAATTTGAATATCTTATTTGTATTTTAAGTGAATTTGTAATTTATTACATATCACATTT